GCTGCCTCACCCCATGCCATCTTGCTCGCACGCCGGCCCCGAGTCAGTCTTGGGAGCACCCAGTGGTACTGGGGCCAGTGGTGCCCACGGCCATGGGAGCTGTGCCAGGAGCTGCCCGTTCCTAAACTGGGAGGAATTCCCTGGACAAGAGGTAGATGGACCCGGCCATTTTCTCCCTCACAGTGACAAAAGGCAACAGCTGGCTCTGGCTTCGGAGGAGTCAGCGCGGCCTCTGTCGGGAGGAGCAAGACCCCACACCAGCCGCCCGGGCAGCCCCGGCTCAGGGGCTCTGTGACAAGCCCCGAGGGTGCGGGTCCCCAGGCTCCACAGCCCAGGGTCACGGGCGCCGCGCCAGGCGTGGGGACACTGCTCTGTTGTCGGCTGCTGCCCCTGGCGGCCCCGGGGCCCTGGCCACACCCGCCTGGCGGGCGAGAAAGCGAAGGAGAGGAGTTTGTTCGCGCCCCGGTGAGTGACGACCCGGCAAGCTGCCGTCCCAGGCCCGGTCCGCAGCGGCACGCGGCCCTGGGCGGAGGCGGCGAGGGGCACTTGGGGGCGCCGGGGCAGGGTGCCTGGGCACTGGAGGGCTTTGGCGGGGTCTGGAGGACCCAGGGAATGATGCTGGGGTACGGGGAGAGCATTTCCGGCGGAGCGAAAGCAGGGGCGGAAGGCGGGGAGGGTGGGAGGCGTGGCGGGTGCTGCAGAGGCAGCCGGTGCCGGCTGTGCGCGCGTGGAGACGCGTGCGCCCCGCTCTGCCCGAACGCGCGCGCTGAGAGATGCGCGAGGGTGAGAGAAGAGACCCGGCAGGGGCGGAAACTTGGCCACGCCCGGCTGTTTCCCTGGTGCAGACCGAACCTAACCACTTCTTAGGTCTTAGGTATCTGCCATCTTTGTAATAAGATGCTTTCCCTGGCAGCAAAGGCTTGCCCTTCGCGTCAAGAGGGACGACTGGACTTGACACTTAATGGCCAGCGGAGTCGGGTCTGCGGAAAAGGTGCGCGAGACCAGCACCTGTTCTCCCGCGGTCACCCTCTAGCCCGTGGCGGGCCTGGCTGCCCTCTCAGGCGCCGGCTGAGTCCTGCCGCGCCCGTGGAGAGCCGCCGGCCGGCTGGC